GAACACTTCTCGGTACGGCAAGTGTACTACTCTCTCTATAAAATTTAAAACTTTAAAATTTGCATTTTGTGTTGTTCAGAAACAAAATGGCATATAGACTTCCTCACCTCTCTCCTACTTGGACTCCCATTGAAGAAATGTTATCTGGAGAATTTCAGGTCTGGAAGTTAAAAAGTAACCTCTTGACCCAACATTCACTGTTGGTACAGTACATTTGTTTTGACAGTAGGTTTCTGGCCTATTGGGTGCTACCACAGTGTAAGTAGATAAATATGTAAAAAACGTATAGTGACACCCAGGCAGGAAGGGTCTAGTACTCTGGCTGGAATGGTAGTTCCTGTGCATGACATTGTTCATTGTTAAACCTATCTATTGGAAAATGCATGTTTCAAGGACTCATTCTTAAGCTCTTGCTATATTCTCTGGCTATGTCCATAATGAAACTTGGGATTCATTTCACTCTTTGCTTGGGGTCTTTTGATGTGTCTACTGGTTTTCAAGTTATTTTTCTTAAGCAAAGATGCTAGAAATTGAATTGTATAGAATAATAATGTATTGAGTGATGCTGGTAACTTAATATGGCCTTCGCTACTTGTTTTCTTCAATTGCTAACTCTGGAATTAAATAGCAATTACCATGTATATATGCTGGTTTTATTTTGACTTGCCAGTGTAGTGTTTTAGACAGTGTTGGTCCTGCACATTGACAGTCAGTTTTTTGTCCCCGTACAGTAAGCTAGTTCACACTTTGTCTAATGTCTTCACATAGTGGGAATTGATGTTGGTTACAGCTCTCACAGTGGGCTTTTGTTCAGCCGTGTCTGAAAGCAGTCTTATTAGAACATGCCACTTTTATCGAGACCAGCGCAATGAGGCCATTATCCTTGCTTATGGTGAGCATAGATATCCACAGTAATTTTTATAATATTGCTTAGTAAGTGGCATTCTGGTAAAGAGTGACAATGCTTGAATGATACCAAAATAATACCCGAGATGGCAGCCGCGTAGCAGCAGGCTGTTATCTCTAATTGCACACTGGGGAAGGGGGGTGGGAAGGGGACCCGTTTCAGACCAGACGGACGGTGGCGATGGTGCCTATCAGAAATGGGAATAATCCTGGGCGGCAATGCAGCAGCATAAAGTTTTACTCTCCATAGTAAGACTTTTATCAAGCAGCTCCAAGTAACCCAGTTACAAATTGCTGTATAATAGTTCTGTACCTTATTCTTTTTTTGGTTATGCAGTATCTTTAGCCTAAAAATGTCTCTTACAAGTTACGTAAAACTGCAAGTCAGAGGAGAGGAAGCTGAGACTTCACAACTCTGATGTAGTACTCTTTTCAGTACAAACCTCTTGAGCTAGGAGAAAAGGCAACTCAGTACTCAAGGCAGGGGCAGGGAGGGTTTTAAAAATTTATTGAAACAGTGGGTTATTTTTCAGGTGCTAGGATTTTATTTTCAGAAACTGGGGGTTAGAAAAAGTTCTCTTTGCAAAAATAGTATCTTGGAAGCATAAGCAAGTTGGTTGTTTTCTTTCTTTGGTTCTTAATCATGAAAGCCGCCTTGACAATTTTTCCCACCTCAAATTAGCAGTTTATTTATAACATGTTAATGTTCTACATACCCGTCAGTATCACTGTTCTCTTGTACTGAGCTGAGAATTGTTCCGTTGAAAACCAACACCAAGAAGATGACATAAATGAACAAGGGAATTTGCATATAATATTGCATTAAAAATTCAGGTGGCTTTTGGTCTGATTTTGGATTATACTTCTTTACATAAAATGACTTCAATTTCCTCTCTGGCTTCAATTGCTAGTTGCATTTTTGTTGTTACTTGTTTTTTTATTTATTTATTAATTACTTTATTTAAATAGAGTGCACACCCTTGCCTTTTGGCATGCTAGCTATCGTTTTAGTACCGCTGGCATTTTTTTCAGTAATTGTCTTGCATGCCTTGCTACCAGCTGCCCTCTTAGATTTCAGACAGGGGAGGGAGAAACCTGAGGTGATGTTTTCCTCTTCTCAAAGCCCTCAAAACCACCCCTTTGCTATTGTGAAGTTTGCTAGGCCTCTACAGGGAGCTTCTTCCAGTTCAAGGTGTTAGCAATGGCCCTTTGGACGTTCCTCCGTTTTGGTTGCCCTATAGAAAAATCAGGGAGCGTTTCAAGTGCAGACCATGCAAAATAGCGTGTCTTGTGTGGGGAGAAGGAAAGGGCAAAAACTCATTGCCTGAGTTGTCCCACTTGGAGCCACATGCCTCAGAGGTGTTTGCAGGCAAGGTGGCAAAGGAAGGTGCAAACTCATCTGGAGACCTCCAAGATCATTTGCTTTGGACTGCTTCTCTAAAGAAGGTCTTTATGTTGATGGGTTATGTGCTTGAGGCACTGAACTCCTTCCCTTTTCTTGCCCTAGTTACATCATGCTTTTGCAGAATATGTGGCAAGTGAATGCAACAGTAATGAACTGGTTGCATGGGGTTGTCTAGACAGTAAGATCAGATACAGCCTCCTGCGGACAAAAATAAGTTAATACTTATAGAGCATTTTTTTCTGTGCAGAAACCCACTTTGCTGTGAAGGGGAATGAGTGAATAGGGATTCCAGAGACTGACATGATTTAAAAAAAAAAAAAAAAAAAAGCTTGTAGGCAGGCAAATTCCCCATATTCAGAGAAAGCCATATGTTCGGAATACTATCCTTAGTGTGGTTTCTTTGCCTCAGAATTAGAAAAGAGGGTTGCTAGGAAAAGTAAGATGCAATCATTTCTTTCATCTTAAAGAACTTTGTAAAGTGGTTACAGTTCCGCCCCAGACTGTTTCGATCATGTTGCACAAATATTACAAAAATGCATCATTCTGCTGCTGCGAAGTAATGCTGAACACCTCCTGCAAGTATTTCAGGTCTCCCTGAACACCCCAGTCTCTGCTTTTTGTCTTTATGGCTCAGCCATGCTTTTGAATGCCCCTCCATGGTTGTGTGGGATTGCAGGGCGTGTGAGTCCTAGCACGGGACAAACGCAATAATCTTCTGAGTTAGAATCTCAAATTTAAAGTATCTTGACTTAAGAGTGTGGGAAGTTACGTAGTCTGTTCTTCTCCAAGTAAAAATGTGCAGTGCAACTTAGTATATTTATTAGTCTGAACTTAGGTAGGAGTGCAGGTCAGGACTGATGTGGCAGCGCACTTATGCGGGGGAGATCTTCGTATATGTGTCACAGGATCTCTCTCTTAGTAAATATGCACCTCACACATGTAAGACTGGAAATTTTTTTGATAGTAATATCAGTCAGGGCCAGGAGTAGTTGCTTCCTTGTTCTTGCGTATTACTGCATAGAGTGGAGAAACTTCAGCCTTTGCTTAGTTTCCTCTCACTGTCAGAGTTGAAAGTGAATTTCTCAGGTCTACTTCAACTATCATTCCATGGCTGTGGATTACTGATCTGATTTTCCCTCTTCAGGAAAATGGCCTAAAACCCAGCATGCTTCTCTCCATTCATTTTGCAGTGAGCTGATCCTTTTTAAAAGATGAACTTGAGTACTTCTCTCATGAGGACCTGCGTTTACCAGCCAATGCTTGGCAAATCTGTGACTTTGTGGAGTTTGTGTCTTGTTGAGACTCACTTTCTGACAGCCTCCAAGGGGATAAGCTGCTAGGCCTGCAGGTGGACAAGCCTGCTGCATCTCCATCTTGGCTACAGCTGAACTTGAGCTGCTGATCTTGTGTGCTGCGATGTGGGCTTCAAACCGCAAGAGCACTGGTTAAGGGTTTTGGCTGTCCTGCAGGTTATGTTCCCCATGCAGGCATGGGAAAAAGCCAGGGCATATGTACAGCCTCCGTGCTTGTGACCCCTGAATGCGAGTCCTTCTCAGGAGCACCGAAACAAAGTTTGTGTTGTGGTTCCTGATGAGTTGGTATTCCGTTTCTCCTGTTTAAGTGACTGTTTGCATTTCCCCTGGCACAGCAAATTCATGTCAGTCCCTTCACAAAGCATTTTTATCCAGACAAGCAATTTCAACGGTGTGTGCTAATCTCTTGTAAGTTCTGTATTAAGATCTTTTTCCTTTGAAGGAGATGAGCCAGCAAGGTGATTCTGGTAAATTTTACAGTTGTAGTAGAGATTTTTTTTCAAACTTGAAAGACCTAATATAGTGGTTTATATGTAAACCAGCATGCATTTCCAGAGCTGTGATATAGCTGAACCACAGTGGAAATCTGGAACCTTAACAACACTGCTTATAGGAAGTTTGACTCCTTGTATTTAACCACAAATGTGGTCAATCTTAGGAGAGGCAATAACAGAGAGGAAGAAAGGTGGTGGTATTTGATTAGCTTTGTTCTCCTTGTTTTATTTAGTATATGTAATGGATGCAGCTCTGGCTATAATAGCAGAGTGATAGTATTAGTGACCAATAGCTACAGTTTCTTCATTGTTAAACTTTGAATTTGGAGTAGACATAACAAGGTTTGTTTTCAGCGTATTAAATTCAATAGCCACGTGCAATTATTAAACAGCTATGCTGCTTGGTAAACTATTCAGTATTGAAAAAATTAACGTGTAGAAGAGGATTAATGACCAGGGCAAGGTTCTTCAGTTGGTCACTAGTTTCATGCTGGGGCAGAAACATGAAGTAATTCAGTCATGACACGTCTACAGTAGGTGAGTGAGTGGCAAAGGTATTCATGTTGCTGCTCACCATCTTATCCCAGACCAGGAACTATTCAGTTCAGCAACAAGGGCATGGCTGTTTGCCTTGGAAACTAAAATATCCTCCTGCTTCCTATCTTCATGTTCTAGGAAATGAAATATAATCCTCTCATAGTCAGGGTAAACTTAATTGCTCCTTGGGGTAGGAAGGAAAAGATGAATTGAAGATTGCCCCCGTACTGCTTGGGAACATTTCCCATGGTGGAAAGGATTTCCTGGAACGATACTGGGCCTTGTTGTAAGGATGTGCTTTCGCAGTCGGCTCAAGGTGAGTTCGGTTTGTGCCGCTGCTGCCAGGGGTCATCCCGCCCTCTCTCCCGGCTCAAGTATTTCTGCTGCCTTCCTCGTGCCGGCCCAGCGCTCATGCCGACGCGCGGGCAGCTAGAGCCAGGCATCCCTTCCAGCTGAAAACTAACACGGCGCAAGCGATTAGTTTTCGGCCCCGTAAGCTCCCTGTGCTGGCTGGCCGGGGCGTCCCTGGCGAGAGCGAGGCCGGCAGCGGCGCGTTGCAGGCGCTGAGAGGTGGCCCCTGCTCTCCCGGGCGCTCTGTGTCCACCGCCGAGCACCGCGGACTAAACTGCGCGTGTGACCTTAGCATCTCCCAGAAGCGAGTGGAGCTGTGCGTAACGAAACCCTAACAGATGGCTCTGCTAAGGAATAGGCAGCTTTTGTGCCAGGACTCGCTGCTTAGGTTACCGAGCGCGAGCAGCTGCCAGTGCCTCGCAGTGAATGCCCAAGGACTGAAGCTGTCTCACGGATATCCCCCGTTTCCAGTGTTTAGCTTTTAGAGTGTTTAGGGGCAGTGTAGGAGTTTTGCGAGCACATAGAGAAAACTTTGGTGAAAACACTTTGAATTCACAGAAGAAATCTATCGCTGCCTCCAACGAGAAACTGCTGTTTCCCACCTCCACGTTTGTGCTGTGTCGTCTACACTTGGCTTCCTGTCCGTGGCCGGGGCTCCCAGGCGACATTTAATATAATTATAGTCTGACTGCTGGGCATTGAAATAGGTGAAGCTATAAATGTAATTTGTGCCTACAAGTAATGTATGTACGGTGAACCTCTAATACTGGAGGCCTTTTTTGAAATCTATCAAGAAATGTCTTCTGAGGAAAGGCTGGCTGTGCCGCTTTGACAGGTGTAGTTACTCTGAGCAGGGCTTTAGCAAGACTGATTTTTAACAGATGAAAGTGAAGGCATTGTGGTCTTGCCCGAGAGGTCACAGGATCCCTGGAGATATCAATTAGGATGGCTTTTACTGCCAATAGCCTCGATCTCAGCCAAGGGGCTTATGCCACGTGGATTATAAACGTGGGAAGGCTCCTAGAGCTTCTGGTCAGATTAGTTGCGATAAATGCCAGTCGTATGGAAAGTTCATCAAAGAAAATTGAGTCTTGTGTCTGCACTCATAACAGGGTCTCCCCTCTTCATCTCAGCTCTAGAGGTGAAGCCTGCCTGCGTAAAGCTGAGAGCACCCTGAATGCTGTTTATTGCACGTTGCTGCAGGATTTAGCTCTTGTTACCGAAATACGCCTCTAGATTTAACTTCAAATTAATGGTAAAAGGTGATATATCACTATGGTGTTAGAAAACCTCCAAATAGTAAGTCAACTAACGGAGTGTTAACTAACTAACTAACTCTGGAGACAGTCTGTAACAATTACTATACCATTATTGATTACTTCAGCAGAAACGTTGAGATGTGTTTATCTCTCAGTCCTTCCACATATTACCCAGTGCCAGAAGCCTCAGCTCTCCCCAGAGCAACCGCCAAAATTTCCATCTTTCTCTTGATACTTTCTTTAGCACCATTGTGCATTGAAACGTTTGCAGGATAATAAAATGTGAAAGCTATGTGGCATTCTTATTTATTTTGGAATCTGCTTCTTATACAAGGAACACTGTAACTTCGCCATGTTTACTTTTTTATATTTAATTCAATAAAATATATTTACCTGAAGCGGATAAAAAATTTCCAGTTTGCTGTGGAAAGCAGAGGACCGTGCTGCAGGACTCCGTTCCAAGTTAGCGGCAGAGTGCAGGAGGGCTTGCCAGTGCAAAGTGTAGGAGGGGAGCCATAAGTAAGAAGGCTGTCTTGCTGCTGTCAGTGACAGACACTTGGTGAAAGGGTAGAAGCTACGGATGTCAAGGCAAGCAGAAGATTCTTCTGAGTTTTTTTACTTCCAAGACGAGTTGTTGATGACTGGCAAGGCAGGGCTTTTCCAAGACTATCATTAAAATTGTTCTGCTTCAGCTTAATTAAGAACTTATAACCTCGAACAGTGAGACGTAGTCAAGTTTTCCTGGGTAATCTTTGCTTTACTGCTTGGTATTAGGTCTAGGAAAATAATTCCTGTAGAAAATGAGCGCCTTTTTTTGCGAATCTACCAAACTGTAGGCTTTTTAGCAAGCTAGAAGCCTACAGGCTGATGGGGACTTTGAAGGGCTGTCCTCAGTTGTCTTACTCCTTCTCCTGCTGCTGAGAGAATAAGGCTGTCTTTCCTCTCCTTCCTAGCCACCTACTGTTGAGAAAGGCTATCAAACACAGACTATTTTTGATCCTATCCCTTTCCATAATTATATGTAGCTTCTATAAATCTTTCTAGATGGAAAGATCCCATATACTTTGGAAGGGGTCATTTGGTTTAAATTTAGGAATGTCTCATGTCCAGTTGTGAAACTTGCTATTTTAGTTTGCTAAGCCTACAACTTCTACTAAATGGAGAGGAAAAAAGGATTAAATGAGAAGGAGAGACTGAAAAAGGGGGAGAAGAGGGAATGATGACTCATAAGGAGAAGTGAAGCTGCATTTGAAAATGAAAAGGGTTGAGGTGAACTGATCATAAGAGAGAAAGTTCGGTTTTTGTGAAAAAGGCACAATTAAGTCATGTGGTGGTTTATCTTCTGAACAGATTAAGGTACAATTGTGGTAGAACCCCTGGGCCTGAATAGAAGACTTAGAAAGAGGAAATCTTATTTAAAGAAAGGAATTTTTAATGCAGCCTTTAATAGGTGATATTTATGTGGTAGGTTCCAATAGAAGACTTCTCCAGGCTTCTGGAAAATCCCATTCAGCTGTCCATTGCCTTATGGTATAGTTCCAGTAACTGAAGAGTTATACAGCAAGGCCGGTAATAGAAAGGGAAAAAGGAAGGCAGTAGCACAAGCAGGCAAATGGGTTTTCTGTGAACTTCAGGCTGCAATGGATAGGACTTCATGCTTTTCAGTAAACGCTTGAGTTTCTTCTTTCATCCTGAGCTTTGTGTCTTTTGCTTCTCTGCTCATGTTGTGCTCTTCTAGACTTGTTCTGGCATCCCTAAAACTTCCTGTCATCCTTGGGATGTGCAACAGTCTTGAAATAAACCTTTTTGTAGGGTTTAAGTAGTATGCAATTAGAAGGATAGGGTTCTCCTGTATGCAGCACTTAAAGTGCTTGTTTTGTGTCTTAAAATGTTTGCCAGCAGCATCCTACAGTTGGTTTTTCCCACCTTCACCCTTCTTTTGCAGACTTTCCTCCCCACCACCAAAAGGTTAAAATATAGCCAAGATGTAGCTATCTGATGTGGAAATGAGATTGATAGCAAGCATCTTCAACTTTGCAATGCAAATGTTTTGATTTAAACAAACAAACAAAACTATCAATATGGCATTGGATTGAAAATTGGCTAAGCGACAGATCTGCAAATGAGTCCTTTTGATGGATGTTAGTGAGTTATTTGTACTAGTCCCATGCTATGGAATGCTTTCATCACTCTCCTAAAAGTAAACAAAAAAACTGTTATTGATACTAATTGCTAGCAGAATAGTAATTGATAATCATGATCTCATACTTTGCTCTGTAGGCACATTGAAACAAACTTCATCTTTAATACAGCCAAAGGCAAAGTTATATGCCAAAGAACAGGGAATGTAGGCAAGGCCTTATGAAAGAAGGCTTGTATCCTGGAAAGCAGTATTTCTGAAAAGTTAGCAGTTGACAAGCAACTAACATGAGCTTCCAGTGCAATGCTGAGGAATGATGGCACTAAGTTTTGCGTCCTGGCATGTATAAAAAAGGAAAAGGAGAAAGAAGACTTTTGCCTCTCTAAACAGTTTTAGTGTAGTTGTTGCTAGAATAACATACACAATTCAGTCCTTGATATTTTTTTTAAGTTGAAAATGGAAGATGTTAAATAGAGTAGCAAAAATTATTTGAGGTCTGAAGGAAATACCATATAGTGCAACTTACTTAAGCAATATTTTGCTTATTTAAAATAGTATGAAGAGATGACTTTACTAATATACAAGACATCATAGAAGTGAGAAGTGAGTGGTTCATATACCAGAGGTTGTGCTCTATTCAGAAGAACCTTGACAGCCTGGAGAGATGGACCAACAGGAACCTCCTGAGGTTTGACACAGGGAAATGCCAAGCCCTGCCCCTGGGGAGGAATAACCCCCGCACTAGGACAGGCTGGGACCCACTGGCTGGAGAACAGCTTGGCAGAGAAGGTCCTAGTGGGACACCAAGCTGACCATGAGCCAGTAATGGGCCCTTGCGGCGAAGGCAGCCAACAGCCTCCTGGGCTGTGTTAGGCAGAGCATTGCCAGCAGGTAGACAGACGTGATCCTTCCTCTCTGTTCAGCGCTGGCTAGACACATCAGGAGTGCTGGGTCCAGTGCTGGGCTCCCCTGTACAGGGGAAACAGGTACCTACCGGAGCGGGTGCAGTGAAAGGCCACAGAGATGATCAAGGGCTTGGGGCCTCTCTCATAGGAAGAGAGGCTGAGAGAGCTGGAACTGTTCAGGGTGGAGAAGAGAAGGCTCGGAGGGATCTTATCAGTGCATATAAATACCTGATGGGAGGGAATAAAGAAGACAAAGCCAGACCCTTCTCAGTGGAGCCCAGTGGCAGAGACAATGGGCACAAACTGACACTCAGGAAATTCCATTTAAACATAAGAAAAAGCATTTTAAATGTTAGGATGGTCGAACATTGGAACAGGCTGTCCAGAGAGAGTGTAGAGTCTCCGTCCGTCCTGAGCAATCTGCTCTAATTACCCCTGCTTTGAGCAGGAAGTTTGGTCTAGATGGTGTCCAGAGATCCCTGCCAACATCAGTGATTCTATGGGAGGACTGTAGTGCAAAAGAACTTTTTTAAACTGTTGAAGTTGGGCACATCCAGAACTCATTAGTGGAAGCTGAAGCAAAGCACGTTCCACCTGGAAGTCAGACTTTTTTTTGGTGAGGGGAAAATAATCATGAGTCTTTGACTTCAAGTTGTGACAGAATAAACGTCTTGCTGAGAGCTTTGTGTTATGATCTCAGTGCTGAACAGACTTGAGAGCTCAGCAAGTCCATCTGTGTGCTCTGTGATGGGAGCAATGGTGTGTGCGGTCCTTCCTGACAGGTGCTTGCCTGGCTGGCCCTTTAAGCTTTCTCATAATTGAGATTCCAAAATCTCGTCTGGCAATCTCTTCCTATGCTTGACTAAAAGTTAAATGTTACTAACTACTTTGTAACTAGGGGAAATCTAGCGGTCAGTGATATGTCAGAGGTCGTATTAGAAGATTAGATTCTTTGCTTTGACCAAAGAAAAAATGCAACATTGATTCATTTTAAAAGTTCAGACTTAAAGGTGGCA